CACATCCATTTGCTTCACCTATGGTTGTTCGATCACTTGATAGAAAAAATGATCATTTTCGTCCACTTGAAGATGGAGAAAAGATTCTTAGTTCTGAAGTACCATATTTTAGTGTTATTGGAGTATTAACTTATCTTGCAAACTGTACTCGATCTGACATAGTTTTTTTTTTGTAAATCTCCTTACAAGATATAATTCTACATCAACACAAAGACATTTGAAAGGTGTTAGATTTTTTTTTTATTATCTAAAGGGTACTATTAATTTGTGATTAGTTTATTCTCGAAAATCTGAATATGCTTTAGTGGGATTTACAGATGCAGGTTATCTCTCTGACCCACACGAAGTTAAATTACAAACAGGATGTGTGTTTACATGTGGAAGAATAACTATATCATAGAGATTTGTGAAGTAATCTTTGACAACAATATCCTCAAATCATTTTGAAACTATTACAATCCATGAAACAGGCCAAGAATGTGTATGGTTGAAGAACATGACCCATCATATTCAAGCATTATGTGTATTAATTTCAACAGAAGATAGTCCAACAATTTTGTATAAAAATAATGCTACTTGTATTGCACAACTCAAATAATGTTATATCAAATGTGACAAGACAAAACATATTTCTCTAAATTCATTCATACACTGAGCTTCGAAAAAAATGGCGACATCAATATTCAAAAAATTCGTTCAAGTGACAATGTGACTGATTTATTTACAAAAGCACTGCCAACATCTACATTCTAGAAATTGGTTCACAAGATTGGATTGTGTCGACTCAAAGATATTCTGTGATTAACGTCAGGAGAGTAGTTGTACTCTTTTTNTACATGAGTTTCAGAAGAATGGCGACATCGAGGTGCAACAAATTCGTTCAAGTGACAATTTGTCTGATTTATTTACAAAAGTACTGCCAACATATATATTCAAGAAATTGGTTCACAAGAATGAAATGAGTTGGCTCAAAAATTTTTAGTGATCAACATGTGTACTCTTTTTCCTTTGCTTATGTTTTATCTCACCGAATTTTCCTAACAGGGTTTTAATGAGGCATAATTTATTTTAATACTCCAAAATAACTATACTATTTTTCCTTCGTTTGATTTTTTTTTCCCATTGAATTTTTATCGAACAAAATTTTAACGAGACAAATATTTTGTAATATGTCATTAGGGGAGTGTTGGATTTATTTTGTCATATTGAATTTTTATCGAACAAAGTTTTAACGAAACAAATATTTTGTAATATGTCATTAGGGGAGGCAAATATTTTATAATATATTGTTGGGGGAGATTTGTAAATGGTAAATTATTGGTAAACGATAATTATACCTCCACGGGCTAGATATTATTACCATATCTATTTCTAATCATCCCTATAATGTTTCTCTTTTCCTCTCTTTCAACTCGCAACAAACCGAGCAAGAAAACTTGTAAAATTTCTCTCAAGCAATATAAAGGCAGATTCTCCCAAACTTGTCTCTTGTTTCTTGTTCTTGCAATCTGTTCCTTTACTTTAGTCTTCAATTGTGCAAGTTCTATTAACCTCAAACGGTTAATTTCATGGCTGGGATTCAGGCAGGCTGACTTAACCAAATTTCCTGCGAGGGGCAGAAACTTTGAAGGGTTAAGGCCGCACGTTGGCTGAAAGTTTCGGGGTAACAAACTTTGGATAGAAGCTAGTGCAATGAGCGTTTGGTACAAAGATGCTGCCTTGCTGGAGGAGAAAGTGATAGGGGACAATAAGAGAATTAAGTTCAAAAGTGTGGATGAATGGAAGGGTTTGGTGGAGGAAAAGAAGAATGTGGGCGAGCGTTTGATGGCCCAGTATGTCCGAGAGTACGAGACATCACGAGGCCAAAGCGGGGATATTAAGATGCTCATTGCCACACAGAGGTCAGGGACTGCTGCGGATAAAGTGTCGGCCTTCACTGTCTTGGTCGNGTCCGAGAGTACGAGACATCACGAGGCCAAAGCGGGGAGATTAAGATGCTCATTGCCACACAGAGGGCAGGGACTGCTGCGGATAAAGTGGCGGCCTTCACTGTCTTGGTCGGGGATAACCCTGTTGCTAACTTGAGATCGATTGACATGCTTCTGGGTAAGATTCATGTTATTTTTTGGGTTCCACGTGATTTTCTGGTATTTGTAATTTTTGGTGTGATTATGTAAATGGCGTTGCTTGATTGACTAATTATGAATTTTTAGTTACATGATGAAACGTTGGGCAAATTGTTACACATGATTTTAGAGGAGAGCTTTAGGCTATGCTGCGACTTAACAGGATTTGTTATAGGCAAATTCTTTTTAGGGTTTAAGGACCTACTAAGCTAGTATAACTTCAATGATAATATTTGGCAGCAAATACTACTTCAATGAATACTGGTATATATCAATTTGTTGCTTATACATGAACATATAGAGTCCTGGCTGAATAAGTGACGGGTATATTAAAAAAATGGGTTATATTCAGGAATTTTTTGGGGGACGTAAGTATCAAAGTTTGAGTGTTCTTCACTGAACAGATATGAGTTATAAACGGTTGCTAGCAATGTAGGAGATTACTTTTGACTGTAAGTTCACTGGGTACTGCAATGGTAGAAATTGAATGTGTATCAAACATCTTATGCTCCAACTGATAAGTTTTTTTTTTATAAGTAATCATGAAATTTTATAAATCAAAATCAAAAGATAATACACAAGGAGTGCATTATCAGTTTAAACAAGATAGAAATTCTAAAAAATTAGGCAACCCTTCTATCAGACTAATAGTTGCAGCGTTAAACCAACTATACAAAGTCGAATAAAATAATTCTCTAAACTGCTCTATCGTCCGTGTTTGATCTTCAAAGCACCGATCGTTTCTTTCTCTCCATACTTGCCAAACAATGCAACCTGGAATGAGATCCCAAACAAGCTTGCAATTTTTATCTCGCAACTTTCTTTTCCATGCCCACACCGCCTCCTCTATACACCTGGGCAATACCCAACTTATATGTTGCGAAGCCAGGATATCATACCACAGTTTGGTAGCTGATTGTTACTTATGTTTAATCGTCCTGTTAATTTCTAACATCAATTTGGTGTTTTATAACACGAAGTTTT